GCCTGTTTGGTCTTCCTTGTAAAACAAAAATCGCTCACAATTTCCGAAAACCCTCCGCGAAGTTCCCACCGTAATCTTACAGTAATGAATCTTACAGTGCTGGTGATTCGCTCCATATTGTGAATCTAAGTTGAGTCTTGCTTTACAGAACGGTCCTTAATCTTCTCGAAAGATTCAACGACGATTTAGTTATTAACAATCAAACAACCACCTTTTTTGGAACACTCTGTATAATTGAAGTAATTTGTGAGATGTAAATTTCTGCCCATGACTCTCAGATTCTTTTTTACTTTGACAAGTTTTTGCCTAAACAAATAACAGCTTTCGGTTTAGGTAAAGCTGAGATCTTGTGATCAGCTCTATTGAGTTCATGCATCTTCTCATTTGAAATATTCACGGTTTTTCGCGTGAAACGAGAATTACGATAACTCCGAGGCGAGATTTTTCCATATTTTCAAAATCTGCGATTTTTAGTCTTTAACTAGACTACAGAGACAATTGTCTCCAAAATCATATTTGATTTGCATTTTGAACTGCTGCACCATAACTTTGTCAGAAGTAATTTTGAATGATCAGAACGCGATTTCATAAAATCGGTTGTTTCTAAGCTAAAATAAAACATCAAGCAGTTGCCTTCGCATAAAGCACACCATACCAGATTCTTTCATTTTGAATAATTCATTGAGCGGGAAAGAAATCGAAAATTACTTTGACCTAATACACAATTATCCTATCTTAGAAAGTACTTATTCAAAATGTGAGATCATCAGATAAACAACTCACCAACATCACTGCAGCTGAGCGCTGTGAGATATTTTGCAGCTGTGTTTCGTTGTGAGGCAAATACGATAATGTTTATGAAATTTAATACAATTCCGAGTATTGCCAGTACCGGCAAAATGCCAATAACCAAAATCTGAAACAAACATTGTTTCAGAACGATTGATTTGATGGAAAGTGAGTACTTACCAGGTTCACATCACCTGCGACACCATCGGTCGGTTCATGCAGACACTCACATTCGCGCATTCCACATTCACTGGAATGTAATGTTTGGTTCCGTCAAACTAATAAAACTTTTAGCACGTCAGCTCTTTCATTCCAGAATGAAAAGAAGAAAACGTATAGAAAAAGCTGCCGAATATATTAAGGAGATTCCCTAAAGTCTGACGTGAGCATGATGAGATGGTTTTGCACAGTGATGAATGCACAACCAGGGAAAAGGCAAATGCGTAAGGAAAAGGAGATAGTTGTGTTCTTTCTCATGGATCCCATCATCTTGAATTACGTTAGAGCTGCAAGAAAGCTTCAGAACAGTGATTTCTCTGCTAGCCCTTCAAGAGAATGGCTCATTCAGATCTCAAGAGGCATGGCACATGGGATAAAGACCAACCAGAGCAGAGTTCCTCGTTCATCTTCAAGGAGAACTAATTGCAATAACCATTTAT